TACCATTTATAGACTTTAGACCCCAACCAAAGTAGGTACTCTTGGTATACTTGGAGTCTTAGGCCCATTACGGGTGCCTTAACTTTTGCTGCAACCTAGGCTTGATCAGGGTTCTCATCAGAGCCTAGAAGAGAATTAGCGCTTGGTTTGGAGTGCAGGTGCCCGTATACTTTGCATACGGCACGACAAGTCGTCGATGGGGTTCCAAAAACCGTGTCCATTCCATACTCTGTTGTGAAGTGGCGGGTCACGCTTCTATAATACCAAGGACTAGCCATCAACTGCTCGCGATGTAGCAACACGCGTGTTGTCTCTCACTGTCCAGCGTTTATTGCTGACCAAGAAATTCCACGAAAACTACCCGGTAAAGCCCTAAAGCTACTGTATGAGACATGAGGGCAAGCTAAGGTTCAGAGTTCTGGGGTTTCCGGTGTTGGGGCTTAAAAAAATTGCGGGTTACGGAGGCTGAGAGAACTGTTTGAATGGGTCCTTGGTGAGAGTCATAAGTGCCACAGGTGGGGCAATCCTTATTGATAGCATCACCCTACCCTAAATGCTGGACTTAACTTGTTGTGAGGCCTCACTATCAACCCTGGTTTACATCTGTTAAGACGCTGCGGAAAGGCAGCTTCTGCTAGGTTACTCCCAAACCCGATTCCGTGTAGCAACGACTTCCATCCTTCAAAATCCTGTACCCTAGTGCCATATGTACATTTGTGTTTGTATTCATGTGTTTTTATGACCCGACACCCTAAGGGTCCATGTACTCATGTAGTATATACATTGGCCTTGATGTAATCCTTATCTGGGTACATTGGGGCCCAAGTATATGCTATATGAGTACATGGACCCTTAGGGACACTTAATCCAATAACGTACCAGGCGGCATTGCCAGCACCGACTGCACCAGTCGACCATCTGATTTCAGTCGAACCTGGCTGGCTCTTGTCTATGACAACCACCCATATATGACGAACGCCGTTCCTGAGAGTTCAGGGTTTAGGTTATAGGGCTTTCGGGTTCAGCGTTGAGGATTGACGGTTCAGGTTGAAGCGTATAAGGGCCTGATACCCACGTCATTCCTTGGGCTTCCTATAGACATGCTTCTGTACGTGTACATATGCATAGATGTAAAGTATACATGTATACACAAGTGTGTATATGTTTATACACATATATGTATCCACCTGTATTTGGGTCAGTGTATGTGTATATATATATATATATGTATATATATATATGTATATATGTATGTATATATATATATGTCACATATGTTTGTTTACTGTTTTTACTATGCAAGCAGGCATGTACGTATGCACGTACATATGTACGTATGTATGTATGTAAGTAAGTATGTATGTCTGTATGCATGTAAGTATGAATGATGTGTTTATGTATGCACGTGCTCATGCTGCTGATGATATAGATCCTGCATGACTTTAAGGACCCAGAGCTATGGGAATAATGGCATATTCCTTTTTATGGGTAATGCAGACTTTCTATCATCCGCCGTATTTGAGCATCTCCCCAAAACCCAAAACCCTAAACCCGAAACCCTAAACCCCTAAACCCGGCGGAACGTTTTTTTTTCCTAGGTCTGGTCCGCCCCGGCTTGCTTTCCTAAGTCTGGTCCACTGGTTGTGGTTGCAAACAGCGGCAACTGCAGTCTTCGCTGCATCAAGCTATTGGGGAACTAGAATTTGACGGCTCTGGTTTTGCTTCTGTTTTGCATGAAGCTATTGGGGAACTACAACTTGCGGAGTCTGATTTTGCTTGTGTTTAGCATCAAGCTGTTGGGGAGCCACAAGTTGCAGGGTTCGTTTTTCTTTGTGTTTTGCATGAAGCTATTGGGGAGTTCGCATTTGCAGGGATCGGTGTTGCTTGTGTTTTGCATCAAGCTATTGGGGAACTACAATTCGCAGGGTCTTCTTCTGCTTGTGTTCTGCTTCAAGCTATTAAAGAACTAGAATTTGCGGTGTGTTCTTCTGCTTGTGTTTTGCATCAAGCTATTGCGGAACTACAATTTGTGGGGTCGGCTTTGTTTGTGTTTTGCATCAAGCTATTGGGGAACTACAATTTGCAGAGTCTTTTATTGTTTGTGTTTTCCATCAAGCTAATGGGGCACTGGCATTCGCAGGGTCTGGTTTTGCTTGTGTCTTGCATGAAGCTATTGGAGCGCTACAATATGGTTCTTTGGACCCTTCCGTCTAGATGGGCTGGCTGCTTCACAAACCTGCAGGAAAGTTTCGAACGTGGTACTGTTGGCCACTAGACGTAAATGGAAGTCATCAAGGCTACGCGTTCTTGCAGGTTTGAGGGTTTAGGGGTACAGGACCAGGAGAGACCAGGGACCAGGGGACCAGAGGACCAAAGGACCAGGGGACCAAAGGAACAGACCAGGAGACGAAGGGACCATGGGACCAGACCTAGCCAGGCCCCCCAGACCGGACCAGACCTAGGCAAAACAAGAACAGGGGACCCCCCTAAACCCTAAACCCTAAACCCCTAAACCCTAAACCCCTAAACCCTAAACCCCGGAACCCTAAACCCTAAACCCCTAAACCCCTAAACCCTAAACCCCTAAACCCCTAAACCCTAAACCCAATGATGAAGGCCGCTGTCTTGTGCTTGCCAGGATGAAGTCTGACTTAGACCTAAGAGTAACCTAGGAATAGTTTAACGGGATCTCTAGGGTTCCCTTGAAGGGATCTCTGAAGGTTCCTCTGAATGACGAAAGGGATCCATAGGGTTAGGTTTTAGGTCGAAGTCTTATATATCCAGACCTAAGAGTGACCTAGGAATAAAAACGGTGCCCGTTTTGGTTTAAAGGGGGCTATAAGGGAACCCTGAACCCTAAAAAGGAAATAAGAGCTGATTCTGGGTCCTAGTTATGCATACAGAGTCTTAAGGGGTGCGTCAACCCGAAGCCCTAAACCGTAAACACCTAAACCCGTAGCCCTAAACCCATGAACCCGGACATGCACCTAAAGACATACTCTACCCTGGACCCAGGAAATCCTGCGTACCTGTTCGGGGTTCCTCCTCGCCGTTTCAGTGTCGTATATAAGCCCCTAAATACACGTAGGCTGTCTGCAGTTCAACTAAACCTGAAATCCCAGCCCTAAATATCCCCACGAAGCCCTCCCAAACCCTTGCCTTCTTCTCCGCCGAGTGAGCAGTGGCAGTGGTGATGGCAGTGCGAATTGCCTGCGCAGACCCCTGGCCAATAGCCCGTAAACCCTAAAACATATCCGAAACTCTAGACACCAAACCCTCAACCCATAATTTAAAGCCAAAACCCTAATTAAACCCCGTGCACCACCTAAGCACTAAACCGCCTAAACCACCCCCTCCCCCGACCCCCCCCCAACCCTAAACGCGCTAAACTCCAGTAGCCCTTCGCGGCTGGACGCCAAGAGGGCTCCGGGCATTGAATGCCTTTGAGGTTCCAGGGTTTAGGGTTCAGTTCAGGAGACTTCCGATCGTAACAGAAAATAGACCTGGACCCTAAGGAACCTATATTTTTAGGGCTCCTGAATATGATTTCTTTATATAAGTCCTTAAAAAGGTAGGTTACGTGGGGTTAAGGGAAAGACTACCGATCCTAACACGGAATGGGCGAATCTGACCTCGGAACTCCACATGAGTGAGCAAAATGTGACTTCCCACGTTTTGGCAGCGTCTTCGCCTCCTGCTGTTACGCCGAACCCACCCGCACGCCGCTCCCCCCTACTTGGAGGTTCATGGGTAGTTATAAGTAGAGTTCTAACCCCCGAAATATGGGTTATAACTATAGTTACCCTACTTATAACTCTCTATTCATAACTACCCATGAACCTCCAAGTACCTCTGGGTGCTCTGTACACAACCCAGGCGCGCTCTGGCTGGAGGATACCCCGGCCCTGGCGCCGGCGGGATTGCGGTGGCCTTCCTTCGGTTCGCCAAGAGATGGCGTGTCTTTCGGCTCCGAGGCCTCATGAGAAAGGCCCTAGAGGGGCATAGCCCGTGCACAGTCCCACGGGCATCACTGAAGTCCTAGTGACGCCGCAAGCATGCAGAAAATCCCGCTGACTCATGTTTACTGCACATCCGGCCACAGCATGGCATGAAGGCTCTAAAAGGGATATATCAAGGATCTGCCTGTGGAAGGGTTCTACAGGGGATCTATGAGGGTTTAGGGTTGACGGACCCCGGAACCCCAACCCTCTTTCTAGGCAATCTAATAGGACTGAGGATTAGGGGGACCCTTGGGCATATGGACCCTCTCACTAGTTAACCGTTGGGAGTACGTTGGGATTATATACGGATAATGACGCCCAAAAAGGTGGAAGCTTACCTACCCCCAAGGGTCCAAGTAGCTAATAATCATATACTCTCCAAAATCCTAACCTACATAATTACTATCCTAAAACCGAGTACTTAATTATTGGGTCCTTTGAACCCTTGGGGTACTCTACTACTAGAAAACTTGCGAGAAGGGTGGAGGGCTTACGGTTCGGCCCTAGCTACTACTGCGACTTGATCGATGGAGCTTACTAACGCCCCCAAACCCTAGACAGAAGCCCTAAACCGTGAATGCTGTAAAGAGATGAGACCCGGACCCCAAACATTTGCAGAATAGTAGCCTTTTATAGGCTTTGTGCCATTATTTTAACTACTTTGGGGGGGTCTAGGTAATAACGGTGTAAAGTATTCGTCGGGCTCCAGAACTCCACAGTTCGAATCTACCCTGTAGTTACAAGCCCTTACAGCAACCGTGAACTATACTTGGAGGTTCAGGGGTGAGGCTATAAGTAGGGTAACTATGCTTATAACCCATATTCGGGGACTTATAACTCCACTTATGACTACCCTGAACCTCCAAGTAGTAATTTTGTGTGTGTGTGTGTGTGCGGTGACGGTACACCCTGCATACCTAAAGCTTCAAACAGCGCTGGGAAGAGGCGGCCTGTCGATAGTAGTCCGGGTTTCCCGGAAGCCGCGGCACGATGTCAAGATCAAAGATGTAGTTCTGGCTGCTGTCCCTGGGACGACAGAGGCAAAGGCTTCCGGGTGTAGGGATTCGGGTTTGGGAGTTTTGGGGTTTAGGGTTTGGGGTTTAGGGTTTAGGGTTTGGGTTTTAGGGTTTAGAGATAGTTACATGGAAAATTACTGCTGCCAATGCTTCCCACCACTAGAGTCCATAGTATTGGGTTTATAATGTCAGGGTTTGTAGCCTGTTGGCCGCTCAGGGGCTCAGGGGGCATGTGAGGTTGAGGATTTAGGGAGTTTAGGGGTTTTCTCCTAGAGGTTTCGGGTTTTTTTGGTCTAGGCGCTTTAGGTAGGATTTAAGAGTTTAGGGGCTTTCTCCTGGGGGTTTATGGGTTTGTGGTTTAGGCGCTTTAAGGTTGAGGGTGGCGCAAGGTTTAATGCACTTCGCAGTAGACAGGTCTTTGGCTTCAGGGTTTGGTCGAAGCCTTCCCCAAAAATCTCAACCGTTGCTACTTTGGTGTATTCTTAAATTTGTTCTTATGATTTCTTCGCCTCGAACAGCCCGACCCCATACTCTAAGTGACTCTAAGTGAAGAATGCCCACACACCGCATGGGATTCCATTTCGAAACTCCTTTGCACGCCTTGAGCAGCGTATCAAACCTAGATTAATCTGGATGTCAGGCTTTTTACCCTCAGCCCATATTAGGGTTTGGGCTTAAGCTAGGCTGTTCAGTAATCCACTGGCAAAAAGTATATACTTTTTTAGCTTCTTACAATATAGTAGGAACCCAGAAATCTGAAAGTAAAATAGTGTATCACTGAAAAGCCTGGCTAACCCTAAACCCCAAACCCTATGTAAACCCAACCCTACCCTAAGACTCCAAACAGGGTCTTGGGCCTTCTGGGGGAGGGTTTCGGCTTTGGGGGCTAGGGTTTGGGACTTCACTACAATGGTCCAGGAGCCTTAGGGTAGTCTGCAAAAATCTGGATGCCAGGCTTCTTGAAGGTGCTGAGGAGTGGTGGTGAGACATGCGCTTTGCCTTCGGCCAGATAGAATACCTTGGATCTCCGCTGCGTCAGGGGTACGTAGTGGGCCTCAATGCCCAAATACGGACCCGCTGAGGCCTATTTAAGGAAGTACAATCCCCTACCCCCCTACCTAACCCACCAAAAGTAGGTAAAATAATTGCCCAATCTCTTTGAAAGGCTATTATTCTACATACTTCTGGGGCGCAGGTAAGGGTCCCTTCGATTAAAGCTTGAAGCTGTTGTATGGTTTGTAAACAGGCTTCCACAAGGAATCAGAAGTTTGTTTGGAGACTTTCGGTGTAACCAAGGGGATGTTCACTCGTTGTTCGGCCTAGATGGGGCTTAGGATAGCAGGTGTAGGATCTGAGTTTAGGGTTTAGGGTTGGTTTAGAGTTTAGGGTTTTAGAATTTAGGGTTTAGACTTTAGGGCTTAGGGTTTAGAGTTTAGGGTTTAGGGTTAGGGTTACGGCCTAAGGGATATGGACGCAGGGGAGAATCAAAGCCATGACCATCCTTTGTTTGACAGCTCGGCCTTTGAGAAACTGAGGGGTGCAGTAAGGGGTAAAGGTTCAGGGTTTCACGGTAGTCATCAACCGGCTGCAAGCGACTATTGCTTGGATTCCTGTCTAGGTCTGTACAACCGTAGCTTGAAAGCTGGGCCATAAACCTTGAACCTCAGAGGGACTGTTCAAAAGAAAACACTTCAGTAGCTCAAGGCTAAACCCATCCATTGTAGATATCCATAGGCTACCCAGCACGTGAGTCCTAGCCGTATCAACCGCCAGCCAAGAGAAAAATCACTTTGAAGGTTGGTGTGGGGTTAAGGAGTTGTCAGATCTAAGAAGACGGTTCTGAATAATTAGCAACATCCTCTTGTCGTCCTTCTGAGTAGTTGCACTATAACCTACCTCAATGGTCCTAGCCCAGTCATTTCATTGAGTTTTTCAGGCGGTAAAGCTTGGGGTCATGAGAAGTGCATATGCAGGAGGTGTTGGGGAATCGATGCCATTCTCGAAAGGATAGGTGGAATTCCACAATACTCGACCAAACCCTCTGATTTGTCGTGCCGTATCTAAACAGCATCTTCAAGTACTCATTTTGTTTGTTTACAATAGGAAGTCCTGAACCCTTAAACCCTGCCCCCTAAACCCTGGTAACCGGGTCTCTTATGCACCACCCCAAGGCTCCTGAGCCCTTGTAGTGAGGTCCCAAAGCCTTGCCCCCAAAGCCGAAACCCTCCCCCAGAATGCCCAAGTCTGGGAGCCTTAGGGTAAACCCTAAACCTTAAACCCCTAAACCCTAACCCCCTAAACCCTAAGCCCTAATCCAACCGTAAACCCCTTTTAGGTAACCCTTGGGGCTTTAGGAGCCTTAGGGCATGCAAATTCCGCACAGAGTCTGCCAGCTTAGCCCTTCGTGTGATCAGAGCTACACCTGCTTGGACAGTCACGAATATAAGGTATTGAAATTTGCGGCTCCTTATGATGATTATAGTATAGGATACCCATAAGCTCTATTCTAGTCAGGCCCCAAACAGCTGGTGAATCTGTTTCGGCGTTGGGTTTAGGGTTTAAGATTTTTGTTTTGGCAAGGACGGCTTTTGCCGATTTCAGGCACAGAGCATCTCAGTGAAACCACCTAAACTGCGAAACATTGCAAGCTTAAGTGTAAGGCTCCTATATGTATGTATGTATGTATGTATGTATGTATGTATATATAAACAGATACATAGTATATACTTTAAACATACCTATATTGGAACCCCTTCCGGGTTAAGTATATACTATATAGGTAACCTATTATATGTACATGGAGCCTCAATCGCGCCTCCCCTCCCCTGTTGCGATGCCCGCGGAGCATCTGGACTCTTGGGGGGTGAAGGGGAGAGGGGAGTAGCGGGCCTTACCAGCTCTAAAAGGACTTGATAATTCTATATAGGGAAACTTGGGAGGGGGGTAGGGAGCCTTTATAGCTCTAATAAGGACTTGATAGTTTACATTTCTTAGTGGGACCCTATATAGGGAAACTTGGGCTCAAGATAGCAATCGAATGATAGCAGGAGGCCCTCCAGACACTCTCATCAGAGCTGTCCGGCCGCGGTTGTCTGCTATATCCTTGTCGGCACCGGCATCAAGCAGCAAGCGGACAACGTCCACATCCTTACTTCCCGAATAAGCCACAGAAATAAAAGGTTAAACTTTCAGGTCGCTACTAAACTAGAAGACCCCCAAAAATTGCAGGCTGAGTATTGGAGAACTAAGCATCATGCCGCGCGGATGCAATCATCAAAGCTGTGCAGCCGTCTTCGTCTGCTAAGTTCGGGTTAGCCCTGGCCTCCAGCAGTATGCCTTACTTGGGAGTTTCCGAAAATTAGGGGTACCTTATTTTGGGGTCCTGATAAGAAGGACCTTGCTAATTAGGGTACTATATTAGGGTCCCTCATTTTCGGAAACTCCCACTTGTCCAGTATCCTAGGGCAGCAAGAGGTTAAGTTGTGGGATTATACAAGGACAGGACACCGCCCCCAAAAGGCTGGCGGCTAAAGGTTGCCTACTATAGGATTAAAGCCTCGGGGTATACTACACTATAAGAAACAACCCCCCAAAAAAACATATTATATTAAGGCCTCTCTCTCTCTATCTATATATATATATATATATAACTGTTCATCTAAGGAGCGCACGACCTCGACACGACCTGAAGCAGATGCAGTTATCACTGCTGTGATGCCCAGGTCGTTTGCCACATCCTTCTCGGCGCCGGACTCCAGCAGCAAGCGTGCGACTTCAGCATAGCCCTGGTTAGTTGCTGAGTTCATAGCCCCCAAGAGGTGTACCATAGGGGGCCTTGATAATCAGAATAGGTCTTTGGAGCCCATTATACTATAAGTATATTAAGGAACCTGCTTAACAATTAGGAAAAGGGTTTTGGGGCCCACTATACTAAAACTATAATAAGGAACCTGCGAAGAAGCCATCCTCAAAGCTCCGCAGACTTCGTCGTCTGAGGCTGGCAAGTCCCTGTCAAAGGGTCCAAAGTACTGATATAGGGTTCCTTTCGGTAAGGGTTACTATAGGGATTCCTTTAACGGGCTTCTTTAAGGATTAGGGTTTCAGGTACCTATATGGTGGAATGTACGTAGGGTTTCCGCCATGGTAGGAATTACTGTTATGATTTTGGGAAGTATCCCCCCTAAACAGTACCTGGGGCCCTGTGGGCCTTTCTCTGCGAGCCATCAACAGCAAGCGCACGACTTCCAAATGACCTTCCCAAGATGCGTAAGTCAAAGCTGTATGGTCGTCCTCGTTCCTCAAGTCCATCCTGACGCCGGCCGCCAACAGCAAACGGACCATCTCGACACCACCGGTACCAGATGCGATCATCAAAGCCGTATTGCCGCACTTGTTTGCCACGTCTTCCGCACCGGACTCTAACAGCAGGCGTGCGACTTCGACATGACCCTGGAAAGCGGCCAACCTCAAAGCTGTGCAACCTTCTTGATCTGCCAAGTATGTGTCGGCGCCGGCCTCGAGAAGCAGGCGAACGATTTCGACATGGTTGTAGCGAGATGCCACCCGCAGAGCCGTGAAGCCCCAGGCGTCTTCCATGTCCACGTCGGCACCGGCCTCCAGCAGCAAGCGCACCACTTCGATATGGCCGCGGTAAGACGCAGATATCAAAGCTGTGTCGCCATCCGTGTCCTTACGTAGTTGCTGAGTTCACAAGCCCAAAGAGGTGTACACTTTCAGTTCTATTTATAAGGGATAATCGTATAATCGTATCCCAGAAAATGATATAGTCGGTTACTAACCATACCCTAAGGGTCCAAGTAGTTCCTATTCAAAGTTTTTGGTACCCAAAAATAGGCCCTAAAGTCCCAAAATAGGGAGTACTTGGACCCTCTGGGATAGACTATGTACCCCGGTAACCTACACTTTAGGCGCCTTGAGCCGACGGGTGTCAAGTGTACTCACTCAACTACTAAGCCTACTTGTCCTTCGGTTGATGATATAAATCCTGCATTACCTTCAGGACCCTAAACTATTATGGGAATTATGGTATAAGTATTCCTTACCATGGGTAATATCATACTCCTACTTGTCGGATATCATGGGGAACTAAATCTTCACCTTTTTGGTTATATAGGGATATATAGGGACTATACTACCCAAAAAAGGTTACAGGTTGCCTACTCTACTCCCAGACCCCCGGGAGGATCTAGAATGTAGATCCCTTACTTTGGGGCCCTATACGACTAAGGGTACTTTATAGGAACCCCATTAAGGGATCTACATTGTGGACCGTCCCGGGGGTCTGGGCTACCAGGTAAGAGTCACGCAAGTCTGGATCTTGAGGAAGCTGCAGCAAAGATTCGACCTGCAGAGCGCGCCCCGCGCTTTTAAAGACAGAGTTTACCCTGGGCCTTAATAGTTTCCTTGTAGAATAATGGCCTTTTGTAGGTTTTAGGCCATTATTTTACCTACTTTTGGGGTCTAGGTAATAGTTTCCTTACTATTTTGGGGCTTCCGTATTGTATCTATAGTAGAGTATACCCAAAACCCGATTCCAATTATTACCCTGAGGCTCCTGTACCCTTGGAGGAACTGTTGATGGACAAAATCCTGCATGACCCTAAGAACTCTAAACTATGGGAGCTATGGTATATTCCTTATAATGGGTAATGCAGGATTTTGTCCATCAACAGAAGGTCCCAAACCCCAGCCCCAAAATCCGAAGCCCTCACCCAGAAGGCCCAAGACCCTGTTTGAAGCCTCAGGGCAGGGTTTAAAAAAGGGCTCAAAACGGTTTTGGGTCATTTTATTATGGTCGGAGACGCACGCCGAAGCCAACAGAAGCTCCCAAAATCAGGAGCCCTCGGCCGTTAATGTTGGCTTGGCCTACAGGAAAAACTCTACACCCTAAACCCTACTTGGATGTTCATGGGTAGTTATAAATAAGTAGAGGTATAAGCCCCCTAATATGGGTTATAATTATAGTAACCCTACTTATGACTCTATTTACAACTACCC